TACAGAAAGAGACATAGGTGGGATTATAGTTTAACAGTATAGGATGGTAACTTAAAGTGAAACAAGCCAGATGACATTCCAGTAAGGCAATTAAGTGGTCTTATCAACACATGCTTGATCTTAGCAAACATTCCTTCTTATGGCAATTTCTCAGTATCTTTACATAACAATCAGTAACTAGTCTGTCTTTGAGCCAGCAACCTGCTGTGCCACAATTCTTATCTTACAACAGAGACTTATAGCCTGAGGAAAATTTCCAGTCCTCCACAAGGTTAATATTTGAAACTGCAAGACTTTGGAAAACCAGGCCCTGTGAAGTACATATGCTTTATAGTATATCCCACATCTTTTGGTGTCTTCTTTAATTTTTTTCAGTACTGGTTTGCTGTTCTCATTGTAGAGATCTTTCACCTCCTTGGTTAAATTGATTCCTAGGTATTTTGTTTCTTTTGTGACAATTGTAAATGTGCTTACTTTCTTTATTTTTCTTTCTGTTAGTTCATTATTTCAGTATATAAATACGACTGACTTGGGGGTGTTTATTTTGTATCCTGCAATGTTACTGAAGTTATTAACCAGGTCTAGGAGTTTTTTGATAGAGTCTTTAGGTTTTTCTATATATAGTGTCATGTCATCTGAAAATAAAGACAGTTTGACTTCATCTTTTCCAATCTGGATTCCCGTTATTTCTTTCTCTTGCCTGATTGCTCTGGCTAGTATCTCCAGTACTATTTTAAATAGAAGTGGTGAGAGTGGGCATCCTTGTCTTGTTCCTGTTCTTAAGGGAACATTCCCCATTCATAGTGATACTGGCTGTGGGTTTGTCATAGATGGCTTTTATCATGTTGAGATAGTTTCCTTTTATACCTAATTTGTTGAGAGTCTTTATCGTGAAGGGATGTTGAATTTGGTCAAACACTTTTTCAGCATCTATTGAGATATCATATGGTCTTTGTCCTTGAGTTGTTGATATGATGTATCTCATTTACTGACTTTTGTATGTTCAACCACCCTTGCACCCCTGGGATGAATCCCACTTGATCATGGTGTATAATTTTTTTAATGTGTTGCTGTAGTCTGATTGGTAATATTTTGTTGAGGATTTTTACATCTATGTTCATCAAGGATATTGTCCTGTAATTTTCTTTATTTGTTGTGTCTTTATCTGGTTTTGGTATCAGAGTTATGTTGGCCTCATAGAATGAGTTTGGAAGAGTAGCTTCTGTTTTAATTTTTTGGAATAGTTTGAGGAGAATAGGTACTAACTCCTCTTTAAAAGTTTGATAGAATTCAGCTGTAAAGCCATCTGGACCTGGTCTTTTCTTTGTTGGAGGATTGCTGATTACGACTTCAGTCTCGTTGCTTGTTATTGGTCTGTTTGGGTTTTCTATCTCTTCTTGTTTCAGTCTGAGTAGTTTGTATGTGTCTAGAAACTTATCCATATCTTCCAGATTTTCATATTTGTTCATACAGATGTTTATAATAGTCTCCAATTGTTCTTCATATTTCTGTGGTATTGGTTGTAATGTCTCCCTTTTCATTTTTGATTTTTGTTATTTGGATCTTCTCCTTTCTTTTTTTTTTGTTTGTTAACTGAGCTAATGTTTTGTCTTTTTTATTTATCTTCTCAAAAAAACAACTTTTTGTTTCATTTTTCCATTGTTTTTTGGTCCTCTATTTCATTTAGTTCTGCTCTGATCTTAATTATTTCTTTCCATCTACTACCTTTAGGTTTGGATTGTTGTTGTTTTTCAAGTTCTTTGAGGCATAGTGTTAGGTTGTTTATTTGAAGTCTTTCTGTTCTTTTGATGTAAGTGTTTATTACAATAAATTTACCTCTTAGCACTGCTTTTGCAGCATCCCACAGGTTTTGGTATGACATATCTTTATTTTCATTAGTTTCAGGAAATTTATGGAGAAATGTGGCCTGATTTCCAAGATTTGCCTTTATTTCTGAGAATCAGGGCAAATTATATAATTTATCATTAGCCTTCCCGCCTCTATTATTACCCATGTGGAAGCAGGTTAAAGGGACAGAGCTTTAGGGATAGATTCAGAAAGGAACAAGTGGTTAATATGGGTGTCTATGTCTATGTGCACCATGATCATGTCTTGACCTGTGGTTCTGAGTGTGTGTGTGTGTGTGTGTGTGTGTTGGGGGATTGTGCATGTGCATGTGTGTGTATGCATGCACAAAAGCTGTATCATAGCATATGGAGTTAGTTCCTACCCTTCAGCCCTCTGTGTGGTACTGAGGTTGGGGCTGGGGTGGGAGGTGGGAACAACTTCACTCTGATAGATGAAGACTCCAGTCTTTATTTCCTGGCTTTTCTTGGCAGATTTACCTAAGCAATGACACTCTGGAGAGGGTTTCAGCTTCCATTTATTTGCCTAAATCACTGAGGAGGAGACTTAACAACTTACAGACCATCTTGTTTAATTTCTTTGGCCAGACTTCACTGTTTAAGGTAAGTTCTTGCTTCTGGCAACTGTGACGAACTGATATATGATGACTCATTGTAATTACGAACTTTTCCTATTTTCATGATGTTCTGTTTATTTTAGAATGTTCTCTATGATTGCACACGTCTTCCAGCACAACCCCTGGCCATCAACATGACCCAATGTCTACTTTAATGATGTTCTACAGTTTTTAATTTTCACAGATTTTCAGCTTTAGTGGGGACCTTAAGGATTATCTGGTGACCAAACAGAGACCTCGAGATGTTTGAAAGCCAGAAAAGAACAGCAAGTTCTGCCGATGAAATGCTGTTTCGGTTTGTCCGTGCTTTCCTCCCAAGTCTACCCTGGCTCCTCAAAGCCTATGTGCCCAGTCTTTTGGGCCAATTGGTTTGAGGCTGGGTGGTGTCCAGCAGGACCCTTGCCTGTAGGCATGTGTTGCTTCTTCTAATCGCTTCCATAGAAGCTTCTCTGAGGGCTCCAGTCCTCAGCCACTATGAAACAAAGGCAGATGACATGGTGCTGAAGAGCAAGGACTAAGGGACCAGGCTGGCTGAATTTAAAACTGGCTATGCCATATTCTACATGTGTGACCTCGGGCAAGTTACTCAACCTCCCTGTGCCTTAGTCTTCTCCTATGTGAAATACAGTAATAATAATAATACCTCATAAAGCTATTAAAGGATTAAAGGAGTTAATACATATAAAGTGCTTACAATATTGCCTGACATATAACAAGTACCATGTAAGTGCTTGCATTGCTGTTATTATTATTCTATCTTGGGTCTCTGCCTGACAAAAGGCCCATTTTTTTCTGGCCATCCTATCTCATATAGTTGTTGGAAAAACATAATCAGAGTCTGCATGAAGTTGATGGTGATGAACACTATTAATTGTTAATATTTACAATAATTGTCTCATCTTCTTCTCGTGAGAAACCGAGACTCAAAGAAGTTAGGTAATTTTGCCCAAGGTCACACAGCTAGGAAGTGGCATAACTAGGAATCAAACCCAGGCATTCTGACTCCAAAGTCTATGTATTCATGAGGTCAATACATTAACTTGCCCAGATGTGTTTGCATTTCTAAACAGGCTATCCAAAGGAATGAATTTCTTTCTTTTTCTTTTTTTAAAAAATTTTATTTTATTTAGTCAATATACAGTGTGGTTGATTATTGTGGCCCATTACCAAAACTCACCCTCCTGCCACACCCCCCTCCCTCCAACAACCTCATATCTGTTCGCTTGTCATATCAATTTCAAGGAATTGTAATTGTTGTGTTTTCTTCCCTCCCCCACCCAGGTTATTTGTGTATTTATTTATATATTTTTAGCTCCCACAAATAAGTGAGAACATGTGATATTTCTCTCTCTGGGCCTGACTCGTTTCACTTAATATAATTCTCTCTAGGTCCATCCATGTTGCTGCAAATGGCAGTATTTCATTCTTTTTTATAGCAGAGTAGTATTCCATTGTGTAGATATACCACATTTTCTGTATCCACTCATCTGATGACAGACATTTGGGCTGGCTCCAACTCTTGGCTATTGTAAATAGTGCTGCAGTAACATTGGAGAACAAGTATACCTTCGACTTGATGATTTCCATTCCTCTGGGTATATTCTCAGCAGTGGGATAGCTGGGTCATATGTTAGATCTATTTGCAATTGTTTGAGGAACCTTCATACCATTTTCCATAGAGGCTGCACCATTTTGCATTCCCACCAACAATGTATGAGAGTTCCTTTTCCTCCGCAACCTCACCAGCATTTATCATTCATGGTCTTTTGGATATTAGCCGTCCTAACTGGGGTGAGATGGTATCTCAGTGTGGTTTTGATTTGCTTTTCCCAAATGCTGAGTGATGTTCAGCATTTTTTCATTTGTCTGTTGGCCATTCACATATCTTCCTTTGCGAAGTGCCTATTTAGCTCTTTTGCCCATTTTTTAATTGGGTTACTTGTTTTTTTGTTGTAAAGTTATTTCAGTTCCTTGTATATGCTGGATATTAATCCTTTGTCAGATGTATATTTTGCAAATATTTTCTCCCACTCTGTTGGTTGTCTTTTAACTCTGTTAGTTGTTTCTTTTGCTGTATAGAAGCTTTTTTTGTTTGATATAATCCCATTTGTTTATTTTTCCTTTGGTTTCCTGTGTTTTTGAGGTCATATCCCTGAAGTCTGTGCCCAGTCCTACTTCCAAAGGAATGAATTTCTAATGGTCATATATTTATAGAATTTTTTGGGGAAAGGTTGTACTGGGCCAACTAGAAATGTACCATATACTCATGCTATGTACCAACTCAAATATACCACATCACTTCCAGCTATGTCTGTAAGACTTTCTATTCCCCTGGAATTCTCTAGCTGCTCCTCTCTCTATTGAAATTCTATTTGTTCCTGTGGGCTTAGCTCAAATTCCACCCAGGATACCTGCCTGCAGTTAGTGAGCACCTCCTTTCCTCACTGCCTTCCGGACAAAATTTTTAGTGGGCAAAAATTTTTAATAAAAATTTAAAATGTGGTCCATAACACTTGGCCCTTTTGATGAACTTGTAATTTCTCTGTATCATCTGAGATGCCATTATTTTGGTCTTAATTTCTCTCCTTTCTTCAGAGGTCTATGCTTAGCTCATAGAATAAGAGGGAAAATTGCCTTGCATAGATTTCACAGTTAATAAGTAATTTTTATTCACTAAAATCTTCCATTGAAAGAGATTAAAGAACTTTGTCAAAATGAGCCTCTGGACGTCACTGGCCTGCCATCAAATTCAGAGTTGGAAAGTCCCTTATATCTCATGGTGCCCCATCCCTCATGTTACCAATGAGGACACTGAGATCTAGAAAGTGAAATGCACTTGCTGAAGGTGACACAATTTATTCATTTGTTCACTCAACTATTTATTCATTCAGCAAATAATTATTGAATTCCTACTATGTGTCTTACATGGTGCTGGATGCTTGGGATACAATGCTGAGCAAGAGAAACATGGTATCTGTCCTTATGGAACTTAGAGTGTGATGGGGGGGGACAGAGACCTAAAAGTTCTAACATTGAAAGGGGTAACCCAAGCCTGGGATCTGTGCCACTAGTTGCTGGGGAGTGAGTACTTATAAGAGATGCCACCCTTATTGTTGAGTTCCCAAGTCTCACAACCTTGCTTTTGAACTGCTTCCTCTTACATCTTTTGATCAAAATCTTAGCAGTCATTACAACATATTACCTTAAAAATTGTTGATAAGACACCACTCTTAGGCAAAATGTACCTTCTCCTCCACCCCTCCACTAGCTGCAGTTCTCAGGAAGAGAGACAAAGCACGAGGCAAGTACAATAAGGCACTGGGGCTCTGGGCACATGGAAGGGGGCTCCCAGTCTCATCTGGGAGATCAGCAAACAGCTAGTGTAAGAAAGTCCTCAGCTGAACCCTGAGGTTGAGTAGGAACTAGAGGATAAAAGAGGGTGAGAAGAAGGAGGGAGAAGGGTTTCAGGGAGAGGGAACAGCTTGTGTAAAGTTTCAGAGGTATAATAGGTAGAACTTGAGGCTAGAGTGCAAAAGATGGAGGGGTGGGGAATGATTTAGTTCCTTTCCTGGCATGGCCACCATTTGTAGGAAATGAAGCCAGAGAATGGGTTAATTAAATCCTGGGTCATTTGGCCTTTTCTTTACAGAAAACTGTACCTCTTAGACTCAGTTGGGAGGGTAGTTAGATATTACGCAGTCCACACTCTTTCCTCATGTCACCAGTGGCCCAGAAAGGGGAGGAACTTTGGAGGAACAAGATGGCTCAGGCTAGCACTTTGCTTTGTGAGTGTCAGCAGGGCCCTTTCCACCCTATCTTACTGCCCCTGAGGATTTCTGTGGGAAAAGGATCAGTGCATCATCAGGCTGGCTTTGGATGAACAGAGCAGGTCAGGAACAAGGAGTAGCTTCCTAGTGGAGCCCAGGTTGCATTCACAATTACCCAGTTATACTGGTTGTGGGGCTCAGGTATGGAAGGGAGTGGGGACTGTGCACTATTTCTTCAGAAATATGAAGCTTGGCATCTTCTAAAAGTGGCCCAGCAGGCTCTTCAACGAACATCATGTAGGCTCATCTCCTCTAGGCTTTCTTGGCAAATCCCCAGAGGACTCGCTTCCTCTCCATCCTGTCTTGCCCTAGCCCTATCTCTGCTCTTTTCCCATGTGCCCGAGAAGAGGCAGGCTCCCAGGTGTTTTTTCTCCTGGAGCCTAACCTGTGATATTTTGGCCCTGTTAGTTAGGAAGCCCTAAATCTCAACAGGGGATTCTAGTTTGTTGCCTTTAAATCAATATTTATTGAGCATCCCTGCCCTGCCATTCACTAGCTGTGTGAACTTTGTTCAAATAGGCATTGAGTCTCTCCAAGCCTCAGTTTTTTGAAAAATACCTATATGGTTTCAGTGAGGACTGAAGCCAGTATGTGTGTGGAAAGCACTTAGCAAAGTAACTGGCTCACAGTGGGCATGGGATAATACCTGCTGTGTGCTAGGCCGTGGGGGAAACACTAGGACACACAACGCATGGGCTTTGGCCTTTGAGCTCACAGTCTTCTACGGAGATGATTGTCCTCAAAGACTTGTTCTAAGCTGTATGTTGATCAGCCTGCTTCCATCTCTAGTGAGGATAGAACAAGAAGTGGTTTATAACTAACCCATGATGGATTTAGGTTCCTTATATGGGGGGTAAGTAAGGATGGTTGAGGGTTAGAACCGGGATAAGTTGTGAAATGTCAGGATCCAGAGAGTTATCAAAATAGGGAGTAGTTTCATTTTGCTGCTAATGCCGTACTGAGTAGCAAGTGCAAAATCAATGCTTGTTATATAAATATTTGGATATATGGATGGATTAATAAATTGTTTTACCTTGATGTAATTGAGACCTTATATGAAGACAGGAGATGAACTGAATGACCTCTGAGAGCTCATTCTTAGCTTGTGATTTTATTTTTCACATTTCTGTACCTACTGCTGAGTGTAGCACTTCAAAATTCTAGGCTGATTACTGATATTTAAGAAATTAGAAATTAAGGACCTGAACTCCTCTTCTTTATGTTTCATCCACAGACCAAAAATGGCACTAAAACATTAGCCACATATGTTGTGAGTGCCAGCGTTTCAGATGTGTCCATTCAAAACTTGGCTGACCCAGTGGTTATAACTCTGCAGCATATTGAAGACAACAAGTAACATATCTATTTCCATCACAGAATAAAATGGCCTGGAATCCCTTCGTGATTTTCCTGTTAAAAATAATTGGCTAATTAACAGATGTGATACTAAGACTTAATGAAGATTGTCTCAATTCAGGTAGCAGAGGTGTGTTATAATTGGGGCCTTCTAGAAACAATGCCTTTTCTGAAAGGGATAGTGAATGGTGAGCAGATTGAAAGGGCAGTGACTGGGGACAGGTGGATCTTTTTCTTTTGGTTGTCGCATCACACCAAATGACATTTAATTCCATTTAATGTTGGGTGAGGCAAACAACTTCATTCGAAATAAATGAACATTTGTATTCTTTGAATTTCCATGAAGAGCATTAAAATGTGTATTAATTATCACCAAAGGACTAAAACCATAGTCATATGGTATAACATAAGGTATATATTACTAACTGATCAAATTTAGCCTTAGTATAAGAATGAATTACTATTCTATGCTTTGATGTTAATATATGTCCAGTATGGAGTCTCAATGGCTTCCTTCACTCCCAATCTAAAAGACTATATGGTACAACATATTTTTCACTGCTTTTGATTCTAGAGGAGAAGAGGAGGGGCTGGCCAGTTAACTCACTTTGTTAGAGCATGGTGTTGATGGGAAGAAGAGAAGGAAGAGTGGGAGAGGGAATTTTAAAAAACAGATACCAAATGTAACATGTGAGATTTGTAATCTCTCTCAATTTGGGCTGTGGCTACAGCTCTCCAATCATCCCCAATAATTAATTGCTCCTTGCCTCCAGTTTCCTGGAGACTGCAGGATCTGGAGAGGCCTTTGGAATGCTCAGTAGGCCTGATAAGGCAGCAGCTCAGTGTTGTGCCCATGAGCTTGTCTCAGCTGCGAACCCCAAATTCCAAAGCTCCATGAGGAACACCTACCACACATCAGTCCCGCAATCACTAATCACAGCCTCCTCCTGGGCCTTGCATCAGGAGAGCATACCAGATCCACATGCAGTGACATTGCTGTTTTCTCACTTGTAAATCCAGAGTTAGATGGGGTTAGTATTAAAACCAACTCACAAATGTCTACTGTTTGAAAAAATATTGAGAAGAAAACACTTGTGTGTATTCGTCAATGTGTGCTAACTGTCACAAGAAAAGATGTTTACCTCTGATTTCTTTTTTGTCGGGATTATGATCAAGTTCACTGTGCCTTTTGGGATTTTGAGAATAACAGTAAGTATTTTTCTTAGCAAGCTTTGATTTTGTCCCAGACCATTTTCCTATTTGGCAGTTGGATTGGAGGGTGTCATCTTAAAGTTACTGTCTTGTCAAACCCTACTGAGCACTCTGAATGACCTAGATATGGGATATTACTTTTATGTCACATCAGGACATGAGAATTAATAAAAACTTTATCAAAGACGCTTATTTGAGAAATCAGAAAAATCACACAACTCAGGGGTAAGCAAAGTTGGAAGAAAGAAATTTGGAAGGCCCAGTGCAGAGTAGCCTTGATTTGTTTGAAGAAAGTTGAGGAATGATCACCTGGGTCTTTATCTGTGCTTTTCCACAGAAATTTGCAAAGTCTGCTATCTCCTTTCCCCTTTCTCTCCTCACCTCTTCTAGACTGACTGTGTAACATTGGGTAGGCCATTTATCCTCTCTGGGCCCCAATCTTTTTAACTTTTCACTGAGGAGATGAGACTTCTTGGTTGGTCTCTAAGGGTCCTTCTTGCTTACATAAGTGTGGGTCTTTGGGGACAGTAAGAGAAGAGGTTTGGGATGGTTATTGCTGAGTGGTTTTTTTTTTAATTTTTTTTGCTTTGTTTTCCTTTTTAACTATTTTTTATTGATTATATATTTGTGAGGTACAGAATCAAATATCAATACATGTGTGCAATATGTGGTGATCAAATCAGGATAATTAGTATACTCATGTTTACAAAACGTAATCAGTCTTTGTGACCCTTAACTAGTTTCTCACCAGTCCTCCTGCTATCTCCACTGGAGTCTCCAGGGATATTGCCAAATCTCAGAGAATTCCCACACAGATTTTGAATTCCCCTAGAATTTCAGTGGTGGCTACCTGTGGAAGCTTTGCCTGGGAACTTCCCTTTTTCAGTCCTTGGAATTCTGGGAGAAAAGAGAAATTCTCTTCCCATTTGGCTTCCTGGGGTATAGGGGTATTTCTGACACACAGAAATAACTCTTCCTGGTCCCCTCCATGTCTCCCAAGATAAGAATCCTATAAAGCAATGAGCTTTGTTCCCCACAGCCTCATTAAGTTGATCTCTGTGTTCATAAATGCCAATTGCGGGCCGGCCCGGTGGCGCACTTGGTAGAGTGCGGCGCTTGGGAGTGCGGCGGCGCTCCCACCGAGGGTTCGGATCCCATGTAGATACCGATCTGCTCACTGGTTGAGCGCAGTGAGGGCACGACACCGAGGGTTGCGATCCCGTTACCGGTCACGAAAAAAGACAAAAAGGGAAAATAAAATAAATGCCAATTGCTGGGCTCCACTCAGGTAGCCCTTTGCCCCTACCACTTTGCTCCTTGGATTCAGAACCTCTGTGGAGTCACTTCAGAGTGAGAAATTATGACCACACTTAGCTTTCTGCCCTGGGATAATCCCTCTAGTTTAGTGCCACCCTGGATGTTCTACTCTAAATCTTGTCTAGTACCTAAGATCTACATGTTATGGAGGTGGGGGGGTGCTCTAGAACCCTGAGTATGCTCAGGACAAACTAGGCAGGTGTCAAGTAGACCAGGGGCTCTAATTTGCCCTAAGGAGCTCCAGACCATGATCTGGCGTGGGTGCAAAGCACTTGAGGCCATTTGAATTCTGGGTTGAACTGGTTGTTTCACATGTCTATTCCAGTTCCACTGAGTAGGCTCAAGTGTCAGCCTATATTCCACAGATCCATGTTCTTCAAACAATTCTAGATCTGCTTGTTTCCTATTTGTTGGCTACTTTAAAACGCAGTCTCTGCTCTGTCACTCCGGCATAATGGCAGGACTTTTATTCATGATTCAAGTCTGTCCTAATCTGTAGAGGTATGGTACAAAAACAGGAAAAGTGACAGCCAAAGAAGTTATGCCATTTATGAAGTCCCCTAAAAGTCAATTTAGACTATTAGGTTTAATTTAATTAAAGTGTTCAGTTATACTGCTATCTTGCTGTCTTAACAAACAATGCTAATTATAACAGATTTCTGGATGGTGCATGTAATAAAAAGTTAAACATTCCTGAGAAAAACAAAATTGCTTTGAAATTCCCTTCTGTCTCTTGCAGATGGGCTAGGTGGATGGGATGTATCAGGCTGTAAAGTAAAGGAAACAAACATAAATTACACAATCTGTCAGTGTGACCACCTCACCCATTTTGGAGTCTTAATGGTGAGTTGTCTCTTAATTACTTCTCAATAAAATTTTGACAACTTTTGTAAGATTACAGACCAGTAATATATGTGTGAACTAAGTTATGGAAAAATGGTATGCAAATGGAAAAGAGCACCCCTTTTTTCATTCAAAGTAGAACTGATTGAAACAAATATTTATTTATCTTTCCTTATAAAATTAATACCTGCTCCTCAAATTTCAAACAATACAGAAAAGGCCCCTGTAATCTCCCTCCCAAGAGATCACCACCATTGACAGTCTGGTATGTATATTCATTTAGATTCCTTTCCTTTGTTTATATTAATGTACGTTTTTGTTTTGTAAAAGTGGGATCAAATTATTCATACTGATTTTACCTCTTACTTTTTTTTCACCTAATAATATATAACTTTCATACAAATGTGTATCTATCTACCTCAATTTTTTGGATACCTTTATGGTATGTCATTGTGTGAATTTAACACAAAGTAACCAATCCCTGATAAGTGGACATTTTAGCTGTTACTGTTTTTCTCCGTTATGAACATTGCTGTAATACGCATTCTTATTTATTTATCTTCAAACACTGGTGTAAATATTCCAGTAGGATAAATTGACAGAAGTAGAATTGCTGGGTTAAAGGGTATGATCATTAATTTTTAAAAAATTTAATAGTTATTGTCCAAGTTGCAGTGTATGAAAGATGTATTTTTAAAAGACTTGTAGTACTTTGAGATAAAAATCAAAGTGCAACATATCAAAATTTATAGGATGCAGGGCTCATGCAGTGCTTAAAGGAAAATTTATACTTGTGGACACCTATATTAAAAATAAGATAATTTCCACACATTTGTGAATTTTCTAAATTTCCTTCTGACATTTTGGTCAGAGAACATATTTTCTATTATCTTAGTCTTTTTAATTGTATTAAGATTTGTTTTGTGGGAAAAAAAAAAAGACTCACATGACTTAAGCTAACAAGAGTTATCTGATCAATTCAAATTCCCAGGCTTAAAGCCTCACAACATCGTTAACTCTTCTAGTTAATTTCTTATGATCCTCCCTAACATTGGAACTTACTGAGTTTTCCTTCCAAATGGCTCTCAAATGTGTCCCTTCTTCTCTATCCACACCTCAATACTTCCTTAGTGCTCTTGGATTACTTTCTTATATACTGTTATATGAATGTGTTATGTGTAAGTTGTTTCTCCAGCTAGTGCTAAGCTCTTTGAGGGCTGAGAATCTGTTTTACATTACTTTCTTGTTAAAAACCATATCTATTCAATAAATAAGAGGTGCTCAACTGATACTTGTTGAATTGTAAGAATTTTGTTTAGCTCCCTCTGAATTGGCTAGATCATATACTCAGAGTCAAAAGTCCAGGGTTCATGTTCTGTCAGTAACTAGCTATGTGATCTTGGTCAGGTTGTTTCATTTGTTTGGACTTTAGATTTTTTTTCTGAAATGTGAATTATTGGAGTAGACCAGAGTTTCTCAACCTTGGCACTATTGATATTCTGGTCAAATAATTCTTTGTGTTGGGGGGCTGTTCTGTTCATTGTAAGATGTTTAGCAGTATCCCTAGCCTCTACCCACTAGATGCTAGTAGCACCTTCCTCAGCTGTGACAACCCAAAATGTCTCCAGACAATGCCAAATGTCCCTGTGGGAGGGGCAAAATTTCTCCCAGCTGAGAACTAACCAGAGTAGACCAGTGCCTCTTAACCTTTTATGAGTCGTAACTCTCTATAACCATTTGATGAAAGCTATGAACCTTCTTCCCAGATAAGTGCACACATATATTCAAATAATTTCGCATGTCATTTCAGGTCTTTTATAGCCCTCAGATTAAGAAATCACTACACTATGTGATTTCTAAGGTCAATTTTGCCTCTTAATTTTGTGAAATTTATTTAAGGTTTAAGGAAATGGAATTTTTTTTTTTAATGTCCTGGGTAGTGTTTTAGGACGCTCAGTTCAGATGATGATTCACTTTGCATCCCAAATTCACATCTATTAGTAGCTTGGTTATATTTTAAGTGTGGAACATGTTAATGACAGTAAAAGCAAGGACTAAATGTTCTTCCAATGCTATTAAATAGCTCTCTGTGCCCTGTACACAGTAAGTCGCACTAGGCATACTCAACAAACAATATATGGTTTTACCATATATACATCCACATAATCTGGCTTTATAAGAGCTGTAGCAGAGATGTCATACGTCCTGGGAACCTCCTGTTAGTGAGCACTGGAAACATTTTGCCATAAATTTACTCTGGCAAATGTATAAAATACAACCCATTGCATTCCCTAGGATTTATCCAGGTCTACAGTGGATGCAGTGAATGAACGAATATTAATGTTTATAACATATGTTGGATGTGGAATTTCCTCCATTTTCCTGGGAATTGCAGTGGTGACATATATAGTTTTTCAGTAAGTTGATACAGACTTGCTCTGAGTAAGTTTAATTTGGTTTGATGGATGCTGTTGTCATTGTACCTTATTAATTTCATGGACAAATCATAATAGGAACAGGTCATATCCACTAGATATTAAGTAGACAGGTTATAAACAAAACAAAACAAACATGTCTCCTCTAAAAACAATAATTTAATTAGATTTTTAGAAAGCAAGATGGGTGGGATAGGAAAATATTTCTCTCCTAGGATACAAAAACACTAACCGTAAAAGAAAAAAATAAGAAGTTTTTAAAATCAAAAGGCACAATTAAGATAGAGAAAAAGTAGACCACAGATTGGAAGAAGATATTCACAATGCATATATCTGATAAAGGACTTGTATGCACAATATATAAAGAACTCTTATAAATGAAGAAGCAAAAGACAGACAATACAATTTTAAAATGAGCAAAAAGATGGGCACCTCACAAAAGAGGATATCCGTTCTTAACTGTAACCTTTATCCAAATTGCCGATAAGCATATGACAAGGTTCTTAATATCATTACTCATGAGAGAAATACGAATTGAAACTACAATTATGTACTTGTATGCACTTACCAGAATTAAAATTAAAATTACTGACAATAGCAAGTGTCATCGAGGACGTAGAAAAACAAGAACTCAAATTGCTAGTGGGAATGTAAAATGGCACAGACACGTTGAAAAATTCTTTGGCAATACCTACTAAAGATAAATATACATCTAGCCATTGACCCAGAATTTCACTCTTACGTATATACTCAAGAGAAATGCGTGCATATGACCACTGAAAGATATGTGCAAGAAAATTCATAGCAGCTTTGGTCATAGTTGCCTCAAATTAGAAACAACTATACATTAACAGTTGGCTGGATGAATAAATTGTAGCATATTCATAAAATGAAATGCTATATAGCAGTAAAAAGAATGAACTACTTCTATACAATAAAATGTAATATCTAAATTTCATAGAGACAGAGTTGAGGAGAGGAAACCAGAGAAAGAAGAGATAATACTATATAGTTTAATTTATATGAAGTTCCAAGTACAGGCAAAACTAAATCTATGGTGATAGAAGTTAGAATATTGATTGACTCTGATGGGGTTTATTAAATGGTAGAAAGCACAAAGGAGCCTTCTGAGGTGTTGAAAATATTCTACCTCTTGATCTGGGTAGAGGTTCCACAGGTGTATACATATGTAACGATTCATCAGGTTGCATTCTTAAGATTGGTGCACTTTGCAATTTACCTCAGTTTAAAAAAAACACATTTACACAAAATGAAAAATGCAAAATTTAAATCAATAAATATTTAGTAGAAATGTAAAAGAAAGGGAAAAATATATATATATATATTTAATTTGGAAAATACTGGGTCAGTTTTCACATAAAATTGTGATCACTTAGTGAAACTTAAGGCCATATTTTCATGGTGCCAAACGTCGGGATCCTTGGAAATATCCAACTAATTCTACCTGAATTGGTTTCCATAGTCCTCCTGCTATTTGGTAAGATGGAGATCCAGCTTGCTAAAGTAGTGATGATAGATCGTAGTATTTCCTTCTTCCTAAAAGAAAAAAAGAAGAAAGGGGTCTGCTTAGTTGAGAGAGGCTATTATTATTCCTGTTAGGGAAGGTCAATTTATCTAGGATATTTTGACTCTACCTGGAAAGAGGGTGGGGACTCTAAAATTCAGTACATGTAAGGTAAGATGAGTAATTTCATTATAATAGGCAGTTCTTTTATTCTTTCACCTACTACTCAGATAAGACATGGCAATGCTTGATTGAAAAAGAGACCCTACCTTAACATTGTGCTTTTTCTTTTAGCAATATTAGAAAAGATCATCCTTCCAAAATCCTGATCAACCAATGTGCAGCACTGCTAATGCTAAATGTGGTGTTTCTGGTCAGTTCCTGGTTGTCATCCTTTCAGAAGGCAGGACTTTGTATCACAGCCACGGCAACACTTCATTACTTCCTGCTCGTTTCTTTGACTTGGATGGGCCTGGAGGCAGTCCACATGTATTTTGCTCTAGTTAGAGTCTTCAACATATACATTCCAAATTATATCTTTAAATTTTGTCTAGTTGGTTGGGGTAAGTACATCTGCCATTGTCCTTGATGTCTCTGTTTTAAGTCTGTGGGTCTTTCTAATTCTACCTCCATTAGACAAATTATTGGGAACTGAATTCCGTTAAGGTCATAGGTAAGGAATTCAGGATCATCTCACTGGTGTTTAGGCGTGTGTCTCTTTTTCTGCCTATATTGCTCTATAAATTCAACTTTTAACCTATATGGTGGGGAGTTGGTGCACAAATATTTATTGATCACTAGCTTGTATGCTGTGCTAAATGCTGGATCTACAGTACTGAACCTGTCCGATTTTATCCTTCCCTTTACAGAAGTTACAGTCACAACAAATGCCTGTAACAGCTAACACGTAGGTAGCCCTTACGTGTGCCAGATGCTATTCCAAGTGCTTTACATACTCATTTAATCGTCACAATATCTCTGTGGGATAGGTTCCATAGTTATTCCCATTTAACAGATGAAGACACCGAGGCACGAGAGATTAGGAAATTTGCCAAAATTCACACAGCTAGTAAGCGACACAACTGGGATTTGTTTTGTTTATTTTTTTTATTGTAACATAGTTGATTATATATACCTGTGGGGTACAGTGTTGAATATCAATACCTGTGTGCAATATGTGATGCTCAAATCAGGATAATTAGTATATTCAACATTTTTCATGGCCCTTTAAACCAGGGCCCTTTTGTGGCCCTTGAACCAGGGAGTCTGCCTCCATAGTTTGGACTTTTAACCTCTTTGATCTTGCCATATTGTTTAAGGAACAGGGAAAGGACTTGAAATGGGTGAAAGGGTGCTGGTCAGCCACGACTTGACTCTCACCATACTTCATGACTGTGACTATCCCTGCTGCCCCTGGAAGAAGCCAGGAATAGAGCTCAGTCTGGATATTTCTGAATATAGATGCTATTTCATTGGTTTGCTTTCCTGTATTCCTAACTGACATGGTCAGCTCAGCTCCTTTCCCCTCCCTCTCCTTTGACTATTCAAAACAGATTTGGGGTTCAGATAAGGTGTTGGAGGCATAGGAGATGTATATTAAGTAACATACATAGGGTACATATGAAGATAGATTTTTTTTTTTTTTTGTCTTTTGTCTTTTTTCCGTGTCCGGCAACGGATCGCAGCCCTCAGTGTTGCCCCCGTACCGGACCGGGGACCGGCAACGGGATTGCAAGCCTCGGTGTTGCTCCCGTGCCTCGCTCAGCCAGCGAGCGGGAACCGGTCTGTATGTGGGATCCGAACCCTCGGACGGTAGCGCCGCCGCGCTTCCCAAGCGGCTCACTATCCAGTGCGCCACCGGGCCGGCCCTGAAGATAGATTTTATCTTCCACTGCCTTCCGGAAGACAATAGATTCCTAATTAGCTACTCTTCTTTTTAATGAGTTCATTAACATAGTCCATGCTTTCACTGGATACATAGTCAGTGCTATTACCTATGCTAATGTGGGGAGCAAAGACAGGCAAAGACTAAACAGAGCATAATGTGAAAAATCCTTTTAGTATACTTTGGAATTCATCAGAAACCCAGAGTCTAAAGCAGTCAATACACTCCCATTGGTGCCTGGTGTCCCTCATTTTGATTCAACCAGAGGTTGAAAAGTGTTATGGAAGAGGTTTAATGAATAATCCAGAAAGCAGATAAACCGCATATGGCTAATTGTGCAAGGGCTGTAAATGTCACTCAGTCCTGGCCTTCCTTCTCCCTCATCATCACTCATTCTCGGCTTCCCTTTCAGACCCTTCCTCCTTCGCTTGCTCCTTAAATGTTGGGGTTCCCAGCACTCGTTCCTGTCTCTTTGCTCTTCTAATTTGACACACATTTCCTCAGGACGGGGAGAGGCAGGAAAGGCTAAGGCTTGGTACTTGGAGGCAGGAAAACCTTGAGGAGTGTCAAGTACACGCACAAGCCAAGGCCAAGGCCTGACTGGCCTGACCAGTAAAGAAAGAGACGAGCCACTCAGATTAATAATTACTCAGACAGCAAAAGGAGGAGTAGCTAAAAGTACCAGCTCCCAAGTTCTTGTCTCATACGCTAAAAAGAAAGACATCAAAACACAAGAGAACAGATGACAGCTACACGAGTTGTGGGATTCCCTGTTGCTGAGGAGACAGCTCTAAAGGGAAGCTAAGTGGTTTCCAGTGCTGCAGCTCTATTCTGAGGGGGCAGGATACAAAGCCCCACAGCTCCACAGGACCCTGGGAGGTGATGATAACCTGTCTCATGCCAGCCTCCCAGAGGAGATAGGGGGTAAGTGGGAGGTGGCGAGTGGGAGGGAGAGCACCTCCTCACAGGCCTCCCATCTTCTCACATTCGTGGAGGGCCACAGGGCACTCCGCCAAAATTCAGATCAGCTGCAGTCCTAGCCTTAGCCTGTGCGGCCTGTGTGGATACATGCAAGGTCACCAGGGAGCCACTGCTGAACCATTCTGCTGCAGGGAGTTTTGGAGCATTTAAATATTAGACAAATGCAATCAACTATAAAGAAAATAAATATTAGCCTCTGTTTATGTTTGAAGCTCTGCCTTCCTAATGCCAAAGCAACCTGTCGAAAAGGTTTATTCCTTTATTTAAATTCCTGTCCAAGGCAGTGTGTTTGTCCATATATTTTAAATAGCAAACAACCTGTAGGGATATTTTTTTTAAATTATCAAAATGTAAACACAGCTTGAGGACTGCCACACAACTTCCATCCTAAATGTGAAGCCTCCCGCCATCTCTCCCTTCCAGCCTCTAGCGGGTATTTTTTAAAACATCTGCATCATGCTAGGCACTGTGCTAGGTGCAGACTATATGGATTTGAAGGGACTGCCCTTTTATCACAGAATAGGACAGTGGAGGATTTTCCAAGATGCTTGGTACTCTGGAGTTTGGAACAGCTTTGCAAAGTATCTTACAAAACTCCTAAAATGTGTGTTGGTATATGCTCTTAGTTTAGGAGAAATACAATTTTTGGAATAAAGAAATCATTTAAGTTTTGCAAATATACATGAAATTGGATTTTTAAACCTATGTCTATACTCACGTCATGTTTGACTTGTTGACTGAACTGACTGCTTTTTTTATAGTCTGGCCGAATTGACTGATCATTAACTGGTCAATCCAGTCAAAATGTCAAACTACTAATGAGTGTGGAAACAGCTTCCCTGTCAAAGAAGCACTGAAGGCTGCAGCTGATTGCCTGTGCCCTTCCTCTAAGGTGACCTAAACAAAAAGATACTGGGAACTAAGGGGCAGTATTGAAAGGGAGAAAACTTTGGCGGCCCATCATCTGAGAAGAAATGCTTGATGCAAACTTGCATTCTGATGAACTAGATATTTCTATTGCCAAGTTGATTTTTTTGGCATTTGAGCTATTTTTAATAACTAGTGGGCGCTGTATTGGAACCATTAGCATGCTGTTTAGTTTAGCAGATTGGAGAACTCCTGGAAATGTTTAACTTGTAAGAATTCACAAACATTTTGCAAACAATGGTATTTTGATGCCCGCACATCTGTGGCTCATTTAAACAGTGTCTTAATGTATCAACACCCTCAGTCTTTGATCAGGATCCCTCTACCATTACCTAATGGGATGCCTTGGCTTGCTTTCCTACGCTAGGATTCCCAGCAATCATGGTGGCAATAATACTCAGTGTGAAAAAAGATCTGTATGGAACTCTGAGCCCAACGACCCCAGTGTAAGTACCAGCATCTCTGCTTCTCAGGTGGTGGGGCCTGGTCTTGATGCTGGCTTCAGAGAGAGCTCAGCCTCAGCCTTTCTGCCCTAAACACAGTCAAGGCCACACTCATGTAATGGTTATGTGCCTCGGCTTTCTATGACCTTGGGCAACTTACCTTATCTCTTAGTTCTATTTCCTCCTCTGGAAAATGGGGATAGTGTTTGCTCTCAACGTTGTGTGCATGTTAAAATATCATGTATATAAAGTGCTCAGCGTGTTGCCTGTTCCATGGTAAGTGCTACATAACTGGCAGCTATTAAAATTATAAAGCTCACAGGTCATTGGAAATAAGGAGGTGAGTTGGAAAACATTTTCTACCTTTCAACAACAGAGGTCTACCCTGAAGAACACTGCACCGCCTTCCTTTGTAAACTGGCTCAGCTTTGTTATGCTCTTGTTTCCTTTCTTTTTCTTTTTTCTTTTTCTCATTTGATGTGTAAGCCCACCTCTTTGGTTCTTTTAACTATAGCCACAGGAGAGTAGCAATTCATTCCACTCCACTTTTCCAGAACCATCTTTTACAGGCGTGTAGATAGTTAGTACCTTTAGGCTGCATAATCTTATTTTACACTTCTGATCATTTTTTTACTTACTTATATCCATTCTCTTTATTGTTGCCTCTCAAGTTCTCCTCCACTATAGATTTCCTCACCACTGGACTAGAATCGAACGCAGGAGGTCATGCTCCCAAGACTCCCCCATCTTTCATATTGAGATGACAGACTCCAGAGGGTCAAAATTATATTGCCCTTTGAAGCAGATGCTTTCTGATTAAAATTTCTTGTTACCCATTCTTTTTCTTCATTTTCTCTTCCTTTTCTTCTCATCTCCCCCTTTGTCCTTCCTCTTTGCCTGTTTTGTGACTTAAAAGGTCCTCAGTGTCTAATAGTGATTGTTCTTTAAAGATCAAAAACAAAAGCAGAAACAAAACCAGAACAAAATCAACTCCACTCTCCTCCAAAAGAGCCCTTTCATATATGAATCAGTTAGAAAGAGGCAGACTGCTCTAAGAGGTTTTTTTTTTAAATAATTACATTTTCAGGATGTAATTCAGACACATGGTACAAGATCCAAATGTACAAAAGGGTAGAGGATGAAAAGTAAGCCCCACCCCAATCCCTAGCTACCCACTTTCTCTCCCTTCAGGTAATTCTTATTTCCAATTTATTACCAACAATCACATTTGTGTAGGTTATTCTCTTGCACACTTTGTTACCCAGATGGTAGATATACACTGTTTGGCCTTGTTCTTTTTACTTAACAATATATCTTGGAGATGATTCTTTATCCAGACATATAGCTCTGACTCATTTTAAGAGTGTTCTATAGTATTAGACTCTATTAGGGAAATTAAATGTTTTATTTTCACACCTTCTCAACACATACACACACGCACACACACACACACACACACAAACTCACACATTCATGGAAGTATCCACATCAACACGAACAACATGAGCAAAAGGGACTTTCCTGGTTTTAGAAAGAGGTCTCAGCTAAGCTGACACAGTTAAATTAGTCAAATTTGTCTATGTTCAAAAATAAGAGGCAATGACTCCAGTAATTGGAAACGTTATTAAATGAAGTATCTATTCATATGAACCACCGTATATTTCTTCTTTAATAGGAACTGTAGAGTCATTAGTCAATCCAATGGCCAGCGTTGCCTTTTATAGTCCAAATACATCATATTTTAAAGCAGCGCAACTAAAGCTGTCCTCTTTTTGTTGCATTTTCATGAACTCTGATAATCTCATCATTGTTTAATTCAGCATTCAGAAAAGCCATTCACTGCTTATGTCCTTTTACTGTGATATTTATCATGCAAAACAGAATTCATCCTGCGAATAAAAGCTCAGGTGAAAGGTGTGGGGTGAGAGGAGCTACTCCGGGGAAAACACATAATTTGTTTTTCTGTTGTTGAAGAAGAGAATAGTCTCCCAGGAAATTGGACTGAGAGGTTTCTGAATATGTAGGGCAGAAATACCCTGTAGGATTTCTGACTTGGCATTGGAAAGAATCCTGAACTGGGGCTCAGGAGATTGGGATTCTAGTCCCACTGTCAAGTGGGTCCATCTCTCTAGGTCTAGATGTCCTTAGGTGAAGTGAAACTGACTAGGTGATCTTCAGAGTCTCAGGGAAATAGGAGTTTCTGTTTCCCTACCTCACAATAGTCTTCTCTTTTTTGGTTCTTACAGTAGTTGGATTAAAGATGATTCTATCTTTTACGTCTCAGTGGTGGCTTATTTTTGCCTCATATTTCTCACGAATTTCTCCATGTTCTGCACTGTTTTTGCTCAACTGAATTCCATGAAATCCTAAAGCCAGAAGACTCAGCGGAAGATGATCCTGCATGACCTCAAAGGCACAATGAGCCTTACGTTCTTACTTGGCCTCACCTGGGGGTTTGCCTTTTTTGCCTGGGGACCCGTGAGCATATTTTTCTTGTATCTTTTTGCCATTTTTAACAGTTTGCAAGGTAACTGCTGCTTCTTTGCCTTTTCTGTGGCTAGCTAGACCACTGCCAAAGCTTTGACTGCTTTGGAAAACTATCTTACCTATTGGAGACAAAGGAAGAGAAAATACCCCAAGAGGCCTCTGCTCTCAATGAGTTAACAGGCAGCCATTGGAAACATTAGCTAGATGTTAGCCTTCATTAAATGAATACACACCCACTCTCTCTTACTCAGGGATGTAGGGAGAAGACCAGATAGCTGACCCAACTCTACCTCACTGGCAATATCAAACACTGATTGGCAATATTTCTTACAGTATTCATTGCATCAACACATTGTACTTGTAAATGTACAGGTTCACACTTGTGTTGACATTTTGAAGTGCACAATCCTGTTAAACATAGCAATCACTGGACAGTAGAAACATTAAAGTTTTGACTCTGCCTGTGATAGGTATCCTAATACTTTAAAAAAGAAGCTAGGGGGCCGAGCCCATGGCCCACTCAGGAGAGTGCGGCGCTGGGAGCACGGTGGTGCTCCCGCCACGGGTTCGGATCCTATATATGGATGGCCAGTGCAATGTGCTCACTGGCTGAGCGCGGTGTGGCCGGTCACAAAAAGGACAAAAAAAAAAAAAAAAGAAGCTAGGAAATTCTAGAGTCATATAGGAATGAAGGTTAAGAGCAAAGAGCTACGGTGCAAGGTGACAAGCCAAGGTTCTAATTTCAGTTTTGCTACAAACCAACCTAAAAAAGTCACCACAAGTGGTTGAATTAGATGATCCTAAGCTAAGGGCTCTATAGCTCTTCAATCTTCCTATATTTTGATGAAAGGGAACAATCAATGAAGTGATTAAACAGTAGACAAAAGATGACATGAGGGCCGGCCCCGTGGTGCACTCGGGAGAGTGCGGAGCTGGGAGCGCAGCAACACGCCCGCCGCGGGTTCGATCCTATATAGGACTGGCTGAGTACGGTGTGGGTGACACCACACCAAGTTGCGATCCCCTTACCGGTCACGAAAAAGACAATAAAAAAAAAAAAAAAAAAGATGCCATGAGAAGTAAAAGCTAGGGGTCTGCTTAATACACCTCTGAGTAATGGCTGATGCTCATTTTAACCTTATTTGTTCTATTAAAGAATCTTGGGGGGAAGAGGCACACAGAGTCACACTCCACCTCCTACTTTTATCCTCAAGTTTGGCCCAGTCCATTTGGGCTACTGGGGCAGGTTGATAGTCAACTTGGCATTCCATTGAGTTAGGGTTTCCCTTACCACTCTCCACTATTTTTTCATTCAATTATCCCCCTTTTTTCCAAAGTGCAGTCCACCGGTGGTCCCATGGGATGCTCCAGCAAGAAAAGAATTCTGTGGTCAAAGAAGTTTGGGAAATGTGGCAAACTCTCTTCCCCCATTTTTGGAGTGGTACAATATATATCAGCATGGTAAAAGCTCTGAGAAACTCTGTTGGGGGAAAAAAATCTTTAAAATTTTTTAACTTATCATTTTTAAAACCTCAGAACCCTTTATTGTGGTGGTTGTTAACCCCTGAGGAACCTTGAGAAATATGAATTGTTATGCAATTATTATATGCTGGGCCCTTGCAAAGTATTGCAGGAAGGTGCGGGGGGGGGCAACGTAGTATAAAGGCATAGTTTTTGTCCTCATGTCTTATGACTCAAGAAACCATCTTATTTTAGAGCAAAGAAATGGATCAACTGAAACTTTCCATCCCTCCAGATTCTGCCAACCTTACACACCATATTATGGTTGGAATGTAAAAGGACACAAAATGTGTTGTCCTTCCCCCACATGCCATTTTGTTGCTTCTGGTGGTAGGGATGGAATTTTTAAGAACACTCCACACCACTCTCACTTGGTTCCCCTTGAGGCTGCCAGTACTTGGTTGTATCCTAGATTGCTGACTGAGGCCCTGGTGATAGTTCTACACTTTTCCTCTGGGTAGAATTGGCTGGCCCACACTAAGGTACTCCAATTTGGTACTCTACCTGATTCTCTAACCTCAAGAACTAACCAGCTTTGGTGTAGAACGTCCACAGAAGTGGATTAGGAATGAGGCGCCTGTGTAGACATTTTCCTCAGCAGTAACTCTAGGCTTTTCTTTGGCTGAGGAGAAATGGGCTCAATCTGTGGAAAGAGGGGTTAAAGGAAAGCTGACAAAAAATGAGAAAGCAAAGCAGTTTTGAGCTTAAAAAGGGGATGCAGAGTGTTTTCAAAACAGCAAGTTTTCCATTCCTGAGATGGAAGGGGAAAGTAGTATCTAAGCAGATAACCTACAATGGGTAGAAGCAGAATTTAATTGGGTATTTCTTGAAGACTAAAACCAAAGTCCCATACATCCAGCACCAACAGAACCATGTTGTCTCTATCAGATATGCTTTATGTCAATCAAGCACCAAGCGTTCCTAGTCCTGCCTACAAGATAGAACGTGCCATCTTGTAGCAAGGCTATTTTCAGAGCCCTGAGTTTCAAACTCAAGTAACACACACACACACACACACACACACACACACACACAGAGCCCAAGTCACCCCTAAACAAGAATGCAATGAAACAAGTGAACACACTAGCCATTTAAATGACCAGTGTCAAGCTTGCAATTCTGGCCCGAGGGGGTTGGCCCGTGGTCAAGTGGGACAAAATTATGCTCATGATGAGCTGTTTGTGAAGCAGGGATGCACAAATAAAACTGAAGGTGACAAAAACTTGACATCTTCCCTCATGCCTATGTTCTAGTGAGTAAGCAGATCAATCTGTTATTGGAAAGAAAAAGGGAGGGTGTCAGGCGGAGAGGGAGAGCTGGCAGGCAGCTCATTGGAATTCACAGAATAACCTTTAAGTCTGAGAACTAACTCGAACCCATGCAGGAAATCAGAGTAGTAATAGGTGCTTGATGTCACTGTTGCCCCTTGTTCATGCTGAACTTGAGGAGTTTGACCTGCTCAAGACTGGGGTTTGCTTTCATCAGGTTGCTGCACCACCTTCCAGGTGGCTGCTGCTCAGAAAAAGGCCGAACACTGCTGAATTCATTATCACCGTTGTTGGTTACAAATAGAGATAAAGCCCTGGGGAGAGTCAGGGAGGCACGTCACTCCATTTAGCCTCCAGACTGCTGCCTCCCACCTGAAATCAGAAAGTCTCAGGGCTGGGGCCAAGGAACCAAGATCTTTCCGATCCAACTTTCTATCAGGAAAGTTTCTGACAGGAAGTCACTTGCCTCTTCCTGAAACTTTCCACGGACAGAGAGCTCACCATTCCATAAAGCAGAGCATGTAACTTCTGGTCAGCTCTGATTCTACCAGTCTTCCTTACCTGGGGGTAGTACAGTACAGTGGTTAAGACTGCAGGCTCCATAGTCAGACTGCCTGTGTTCAGTCCTGATGCTGCCAGTTCAATATTAGCTCTGTGACCTGGGTCAAGATTACTAGACTTCTTGGACTCCAAGGTCTCTCAACTATAAAAATGAGACTAAAAATAATAGGCACAATGCCTTTTACATGGTTACTATTTGGTAAACACCGGCTGTGATTTCTTACTACAGGGTTGTTCTGTAGCTTCCTCCCATTGCTCCTAGTTCTAACCTGGCAGCTACACAGAGCAAGCCTAATTTGTCCTTTTCATGACAGCTCTTTCAGATCTGTGACTATAGCTACCGTCTCTCCTCACCCTATATTTTCCACTCCAAGACCCCAGCTCTTTTAGCTTTTCCTCAAGCTCATCACTATCCTTGTTTGCTCTGTTCTTGAATACTCCTGTTTGTCATTATCCTCTTAAAACAAGCCTCACAAACTGAACATGGTGCTAGTGGGAGGTATGGTTAAACCAGGGAAGATGGCAGGAGACTCTCACCCACCTCAATTAGGATTCTTTACTTCCACTAATGCCCTAGCTGAAATTAGCTTTGGAGGCATTTACTATTGAAGTGTGCTCAGTTTGCAATGAGTTAACACTGCTCCAATACTAATCGTTTACCTTCAACTGGCCAGTGTAGAGGCAAGCTGAGCCCTGTATAGAGAACAAAGGTTTCCAAACTGCACTTGGGCCGAAATAAATATTTTGAGGCCCAAGTGGGTATTTCTAAGGTTGTAGAAGGCTGTGAGAGTTTGTGTATCAAGTGCCTTGGAGTTCGAGTCAGCAAGCATCTATTGAGTTGCCACATATAGTACTGGAGGCAAAGGGAAAAGTGATATAAGGGTGAAAAAGAAACACCTCAGCCTTCAAAGACTTGCCAGCTTGGTAGGGAGATGGGCAATATGTGGAGAATGATATGGCTAAATATGGCAAATATTATAAGAAACAAAGTGTTATGGGAGTTTAGAATTAAGAAGGATGAGTTTCAGTTTGAGGCATCTGGAAAATCTTTGTGGGTAAAGACTTTCGGCGTGGACCATAAACAAAAGTCAGGCTGTTGACAGAAGTTATTTCTGCAGCTCCACTCTCAACTTTAGAAAACCCAATTGGTCCTTCAGGGAATTTGCAATCAGAATAGTTTTAAGACCTACTTCTATGTCCCAAGGAAGAGGTCTTTTAGAGAGTGGGCATGAGAAATGGCCAGTATTGCTGCTAGATACCCTCAGCACCTCCTTCCCACTTGCAGAAAAAAATCAGGGCTGACAGAAGAAATTGAGGGCACCAAATACATAGTTCCCACACAGTGTAATTATGCCAAAGAGCATGTGCATTAGTTATTTATTGATGTGTAACAAGTTAACCCTAAATTTTAGCAGCTTAAAACAATGAATATTTATTATCTCACACAGTGTCTGAGGGTCAGGAATTCAGGAGCAGCTTAGCTGAGTATTTCTGGCTCAGGGGCTCTCATGAAGTTGCAGTCAAGCTGCCATTTGGGGTTGCAGTCATCTGAAGACTTGACTGGAGCTGGGGGATCTGCTTCCAGGAAGGCTCACTCACATGGCTGTGGACTGGAAGCCTCAGTTCCTCACCATGTGGGCCTCTCCACAGTTATGCCAGGATGGCCTCAAGACAAAGTACTTGGCTTCTTTCAGAGTGAGTGATATGAGAGAGAGAGAGCATACTCAATGTCTTTTATAATCTAATCTTGGAAGTGATATGATATTGGTATGAAGCGGAAGGAGACTCCATGAAGGTGTAAATGCCAGGATGTGGGGATCACTGAGATCCATCTCAGAGGCTACCATAGTAGGCCATATCTCTCATGATTTAGGATGGACAGCAGCCCAGGGGAAAGCAGTGGTTGGCATGAAGTCTTGATGTGGATCTCTTTGCCATCACTGCCTTTGGGAGGGAGGCTAGAAAGAGGAGATCAGAAAGCCAGAAATGTCCCAGGTTTCCTTGAAAGTAGTATCTATAGTGACAAGAGCAGGCCTGAGTCCGGGCATTGGTGACAAATGGTGAAAGAAGCTGAAAAAGACTGACCTTCCTGTCCTGGTTTAGGATTCTTCATTTTTGTGTTTCACTGCATGATGAAGGTGAGCGCGTGAGAGCAGTGGCAGATACTCCTCTGTTGTGGGTGGTTGCAAGTGGATAACTCTTCTGGTAAGATGCTAGTTTGGGTAAAGTTTTGAATCTGACATGCTTTACAAAATTGATCAGATTAACTTGTCTCCTAACTTGAGTCCATACAGCATCAGCATCAAAATGGAGGCTGCTTCCATGTCATGAAAATGATTTGTGCTTTTGTGCTGAGATGAATGAAGTCAAGTAAAGGATGTGACTTGGGCCATATTTTAACCTAGTGAACTTTCGTTTTCACCCAGATTCCTTGGATTGCTTTTCCTCACTGTCACCCCAATCTCAATTCAATTAAAAGAACGTTGATTGAGTGCCTATATGACCCAGGCACTGGGTCCCAGGAGCTTCTCGCCAGTAGCCAACAGTGGGTTGGGTGGAGGTGGGAAGCAAGGAGTGGTGGTGGAGGTAGAGAGAACTTATCAGCATTCCTAAGATGCCTGGCCAGTGGGCTGGCCAGGTGGACCCGTGGCCCTTCCTGCAAAGTGGGAGATGTAGTGGACTCTAATGTTGTCTCTTAACACTGGCACTTCCCTTGAGAATGTCTCCAGTGCAGGCAAACTAAAGTCATAAGTATCAGAAGGATCTTCCATCCAATTCAGGCAGCTTCTCTCAGTCTCAGTATAAAGCCCAGTCTGTTTCATTGAGGGAAGGCAGTGCTTGAACTCTAAAATTCTAAATAGCACCGAGGTCCCCCTCCTTTATGCCAGACATGTCAGTAACCTGCTGGGTTTTGTGCACTAGGGAAAGCAGGCATCCTAGGTGAGTGAACTGGCTTTTCCTGTACCACACATTACAGTACACACTTACTCCTCACAACCTCATAATAAAGCTGACTCCTTGAGGTACCCAGAATGAATGCTGTGTGCATTGAGCAGTATATATTTTTTTAAACGGGATTATTGAGGTGTAATTTACATGCCATAAGATTCATCCATTTGACGTACAAAGTTTGATGAACTTGATATTTTTAAATTTTTTTGTTGTCATTTCAGATGGTAGCAGCCCGTGTGGGATAAATGTTGGGTACAAACAGCAGAGAGGCAGGGCTCTCAGGTCGGTACGTGGTCAGGCCTCGCCCATGGAAGGGGTCAGCCTGGGCCTCGGGAAGGTGCTGAGAGGACGAGTCCAGGAGCAGGGCGGGGCAGGCAGTCAGGACTCCGGCCCGGGGCGCTGAAAAATATTCTCTGACCTGAATCCTTGATGTCTTGATGGTCGAAAGATTAAGCTCTCTGCTCTCTCTGGTTCCACCATCTTGCAATGTGAGACACCTGGGTCACTGTCACCACCACTAGACAGACTTTGGAATCCCCAGCCTCAGAAACTAACCCTGGGTCACTGTCGCCACCACTAGGTGGACTATGGACTTCTCAGCCTCAGGAACTATGGACTTTGGACTTCCCAGCCTCAAAAACTGGAACTTTGAGGAGCCGGTGGCGGCGGCAGCGGCAGAAGCAGCATAAGTGGCACTGGCGGCAGTGGCGCCGGCGGCAGCGGTGGGGGAAGCGGCACCAGCAGTAGAAGCGGTAGCGGCGGCAGCAGCAGCAGCAGCGGCAGGAGCAGTGGCAGCGGCAGCAGCAGGGGAACCAGCAGCGGCAGGAACGACATGCTGCGGTACCGCCCCATCACCCAGCAGCCCGGCAGAGTCCAAGCTGACCAGAGTGGTGGCTCCCCGGAGAGGCCCAAGACCCAAGGTAACCACACACGCAAGGCACTAGTGGCCA